ACTGSGAAACATTCCCAAAAAAGACAGAGGCGATCTACGAAGCCTTTCAGCTGCAACGGGCACCATACCCAAGACTTCTTTATTACGTCTGGTCAAGCGTGGTAAAATTAAGAAGCACAACAGGAGCGCAAAACCTCTACTAACACCTGCAAATAAGCTCAAGCGAATTGAATGGATATTGAGTCACATTGACAAGAACGGAAGATTTGATGACTGGTTCCGTTGGATACATGTTGACGAGAAATGGTTCTATTTAAAGAGGACAACGCAAACTACCTATTTACTTGCAGATGAAGATAAACCCAAGTCTACATCCAAGTCAAAGAATCATATGACAAAGGTAATGTTCCTTTGCGCTACAGGATTTGATTCCGGCCGAAATGCATGGTTTGATGGCAAGCTTGGTATATGGCCTTTTGTTGTTAAAGAGCCAGCAAAAAGAAGCTCTGTCAACTGTCCAAAAGGAACGCTGGTGACAAAACCACAGAATGTGAACGGTGATGTGTACAAGCAAATGTTGATGGAGAAAGTACTGCTGGCAATCTACGATACATGGCCGAAGGGGGCTGACGGTGGTCCCCCTCCTGAAATTATTWTCCAGGAAGACAATGCTAAACCCCACAAGGCAAGTATCAGGGATGCGGTTGCAGCGGCGGCAGCAAGGGAGGGTTGGAATATTTCTGTGAAAACTCAACCACCAAACAGTCCTGATATGAACATTCTAGATCTTGGATTCTTCAATTCTATTCAAAGTTTGCAGTACGCTACTAGAAGAAGCGTTCAAAAGATATTGATCACTTGATTGCAAATGTTGAGAAAGCATATGATGAGTGCAAACGGGAGACTCTGAATAATGTGTTTTTATCCCTTCAAGCATGTATGGAAGCTTCTATTAGTGTTGGAGGTGACAATAACTACTACRGGCTTACTCACATGGGAAAGGCAAATCTAATGCGGCAAGGTACGCTTCCTGTTTCAATTATTTGCAATCCTAGTCACATTGCACCAGAAGGGAGGCAAATCCTTGATGATGCTGCAGAAGCTCACCAGGAGACTGTAGCAGCAAATAGCAGTAGTAATGAAAAGCAGCCATAGTGGTGTTGGTGTTAGCAAGTATTTGTACTACAGTAGTTAAAATAAGACTAGCTTATAGTGTTTAACAAGTTTCTGGTACTAAATGTACACAATCCTACATAGGCCCAATAGCAACGACACTCTTTGGGGACCAGCAAACAAATAGGGTCACAATGACACTCATAGGTGACCGGAGGAAGTAGTAGTTAATATCATTTGAGTTTACAATGTAATTAACAGGGTTATCAACCACATATTTCGTTAAATTATAATACGAATTATTACAATATCAATCAGGCTTATCGATATTATTGCTAGATATTTTCTATTCATATCAGGCAAGTACCAAACAAAATATCAACTAAAAATACAACCCTGTAGGACACAGTACATAATCTATGTAGATGAGACAGCTTGCACCAAGAGTGCGCGGAGCGCTGGARTATCAGCGTGTTTGATGAGACGTACTCACACGATCACGCACAAGGCAAATTCTATACAAAAAAACCAAGTCGGGAGAGTAATTCTCGACAATCACGTCGATAACAACACTGTCGACACTAACACTCCTGTCAGCTATCAACATGGTCCTCTTGTTGAGGATAGCAAAATACAGCAAAATACTACAGTTCACATATACACAGTGTACACTATATTTTTATGCTTTTTTTCGATATAAGGGGGGGACAAGTAGTAAGAAGGAACACGCAACAAAGAACAAAGAACAAAGCGTCGACGCGTCGATCGATTAAGAAGCAGCACCAACAGTCGGTCCGCGAAGCATGTGGTGACCCCCATTGGCTTCATGGGGACGCATAGCTTTGAGGATGTAAGAGACCCTCTTGGTTGGACCATACACTGCATAAATTCTTCTTACAGCCACTTCTGAAGAACAACCAGCCCTGATGAGTCTTTCCATGCACTTCCAGTACCTCAACCGCCTCGAGTACTTGCTCTGAACACGTCCTCGCTCAGCAGCAGTGAATTCCTTTGCAGGCTTATTAAGACCAACACCAACTTCCCATTCATTCCACAGGACATAAAGATCATGAGGACACTTGCACAGCTCAGCGTTGCCAGTCTCTGACGCGCCACTGTTCAACGCACGAGGGGCCCGGGCGGGTCTCCTTCTTACGACTGGCGCCATTGCAGCTCTTTGGGACAGCTCAATCGCTCGATTGAGCTTTTGGTTGAACTTAGCTTCACTTGCAATCTGTCGATTCTTGATCTCATTCACTTCATTGGCTGTAGCAAACAGCTTTGAGAACATTGCATGGTTCCACTGCAACTGAGTCCTACGAATCCCAACAGCACCAGCTCCCCCGCCGCCGCCTCCACCATCCAGCAGATCATCCGGATCTGCAAGCTCATCAAAGTGAACTTGCCCACTGAATTCATTAGCAACCAGCTCAACACGCTTGATAGGATTCACATCACCACCATCCAACCTGTCAGCAACTGGAAGACTATAATTCAATTGAATCCAGGAACCAACGACGTCCCTCTTTATATCATCCGGGATCAACCCGGATGCTTGCATTGCCGGATCACAGCAAGCCCAAAGCAACGCTTTGCCAAGGATTGCAGCCACTTGATCTCCAAATACATTAGCAATATTAGGAGCAACTGAAGAAGCAAGCCACTCATCGGATATTCCGGTCCTTGAGCTTTCAGGCTTGTAAAGACAAATTCCTCCAAAGCAAAGCTTCGATGCAATGTCAATATCAGGCCAAGCAAGCTGTGTATCAGTATATCGATCCTGTTGCCGGCGCGACTTCCATCTAGCTCTGTAATCAACGTTATCCCTGCATCCCCCAGACTGTCTTGCATAGGTGGTGGCAAGCTTCCTAAAGGAATGAGTTCCCAGCTTCCCTTCTGCATCTGGTCTTTCACGAACAAACGCTTCATTATCAAACACATAGCGCTTGATGAATCGAGCATAAGCAGCCTTTCCTTTGTTAATCTCTTTCTCAATGTCCTTTGGGTGAGATCCCCTGTCTGTTACTCCTTCAGTGAACAGCCACTGGCCTGCTGCTCCTTCACCATCTTTGCACCACTTTTCAAGGAATAAAGCAAGTGCTAGCACCACACAGCTCCTATGATCCATCGATCCAAGCAGTATTTGTCTTGGGCAATCACGTTCCTCCCTTACATTCTTAGACCATCTCAACTTTGCTGTAAGGAACTGGGGAAATTCAGCTGATTTTTCCAAGCTGTCTTTCCCCACATGCGCCATATCATCATTCCGACCTATCAAGTGGAACTGGAACTTGAGCATTGCAAGGAACCTCAGTCGGTTGGTAATGGAACCGTGATGCGACATCAGTTCTAGTGTTTGCAAAAACTCATCCTTTGTAAGAGGCCTATCCATGCTGCTTGCTTGTCCAAGTCCTCTGGTTTCCTTCTTGACAACAGCCGCGATTAGGTCATTCACTAGCTGGGACTTAGTAGGATTCCCACTTCCAACACCGCCAACAACTGTCCATTTCTGCATCTTGTTTGGCATAAAATAGGAGATTGCTTTCTTGTAATAGATTAGGGACGTTGATCTACCATAAGTAGGATTATCATCGACACCAGGATCCTCCCGACCAAAAGCTTTCTTTGCAAAGAACTTGTAAATATGATCCGGCGTTAGAATACTCAACTGCTCATCCGTGAATATAGTATCATTTGGAAATCGATTATCCCCATTGGTGTCTCCTCCTTCATCCACTCTTCCATGCACATGATCCATTAACTCAAGCAGAATCTTATGATATCTCCCCCATTGCCCTGGCTGGTTCACATCTCGTGGAGGCGTTACMGTCCCCCCCCTTCTTTTCCGAGCCCGGATACGCCGGCGATTTGCCCCTCCTCTTGGTGTTCTTGCCATTAGGAGTGGTAGCTTCTTTCTTTGTTGCTTGTGTTGCTCTTTGCTTGTTGCGTTGCTTTGCTTGTACTCGTACTCGTATGCGAGCAGGAGGATTGAGGTTTTGCTTGAACCAGTACTAGTAGTACTCGTACTCGTAGTACTCCTATTTGATTTGCACCTCTCGTGGTGCTGACCAGGAGTCGAGGGGGGCTGGGGATTGGGGTTTTGCTTGAACCACCACCAGTAGTAGTACTCGTACTCGTAGTATTCGATTTGCACCTCTTGTGGTGCTGGTGACGTTAGGAGTCGGGGGCTGTCTTCCTCCTTCCAGTGGTACTACTAGTACTAGTGGTACTCGTACTATGATGCACCAAGGGGGACTCGTCCGCTGTGTGTTACTACAGTATTTTGTTACTGTATTTCTTGCTTGTCTTGCTTTGGGTTTTGCTTGAACCGGTACTCGTATGCGATACTCGTATGCGAGTATTGTTATTTTATGAGCAAAAAATGCACCTCTCGGGGGGAGTTGCAAAATGGTTGCACACTCAGTGTAATTTGCTCTGTCTTAAGCAACCCAAAGAGGTACGGATGCGACCACAGCAGAAAAGCTAATACGGTTGCACAGTAGAATTCCTACCAGAATTCATGTAGGGGAGGTAAGTACGGTGGTAAATGGAGTGGGGCTAAGTGACGTGTTATAGCCTACGTAAAATCCTACGTATTTTAAGTACCGATAGACTCCTTCGACCGTTTTGAGAAATGGGTTGCAAAAATTTGGTACCAGCACCGTACGTACTTTGAGCATTAATTATATTAATTATAGGGTACTCACCTGGTTCTTCTTACTCGTASTACGTATTCCCAGGAGTCATAATACCCCTGCGCATTCCTTCGTCCTGTTTCATCAACTACGAAGCACCTCGTACSGTACGTATGTACTGGGGACTAGAAGTACGAGTACAGTTCGCACTGAATTACAGAATTACTGTATTTTTTTATGCGAACCTGGACGAGCAGCAGCAACAACGTGAGCTGGAGCACTTCAGCCATAAATCACRTTTACTTCAGAGCATCCTTTTGAAAGGAAATCCCAACCTGAAGAAAAGAGACAAGCACAAAACATTATCAAGACTAGACGAAGCGACGCGAGGCCGGGCAAACAAAATGGCATCGCCKCAACCGAAACTGGACAACAAGTCTAGTTCCGTAGTAGACAGGAACGACGAGGAGGGTCGCCTATGGAAGACTTCCTTCCCCGCTGATGCTGAACCACCCGCTCGGAGTGACCACAGCATCCGTGGCATGCCCGGCACCGTTAGCAGCACGAGACTACCTCAGTTTTTTGGCAAAGAAAGGCAGAGCGAAAGAAGCGACGAAGACGGAGGCACTTTAACAACCGAAGAATTGTCGTCGTGTCCGGTGGCCAAACACGAAAAAGTGGGTGTCAATGACGACGGCGCTGCCGCGTCTGCGAAAACGAACCACCATTGTATTGTTGRAGGAGGCAACCACTTAGAAAGCACCGATAGCAACACCGGTGAGATCCCCCCCACGCCAAAGCTCGTTGTCCCGAACGATGCCAAACGGATCGATGAGATTGATCCAAATGCCACCGCCGGGCTCGATGGTGGGTTTGGCAGTCTGCACAGCGATGATAACGAGACGCAACATCTTGCCGCCATGCCTTCAACACCAGGAGGGAAGAAACACGGAAGGCTGTCAATTCGGATGGGCGACGCCACCGAGAACYACGCCGCAGAAAATCGGGACTCCGTCACCGATCTYAGTCTTAGCGGGAGGTCATTCACTTCTCACAACAGCTGTATCTCCCACCACGATAGCATCAACAGCGGTCTCTCCGTTCGATCGCACGAGGAGAGCGGCGTTGCCATTCCGATGGGTGCTGTAACAGGTACCACAAGAACGGATCTCGTGGTMAATTCCTCSGGGGATACTAGTACGAACGATGTGATTGGATTTTCCCTCCCGTTTTCCTCGGTTACAGCAGCATCCACACGAGCAGAGTTACCTGGACGGAAACCCCACACGTTGCGGGATCTGATGTTCGACAGCGATATATTTGGTGCACGTCGGGACCACCAGAAACATAATGCTAAACGTAACAACAGCAGCAGCCGCCATAGCTTAGCAATAGATGACATCTTCGGCGCATCGGAACACGATTTAGAGGAGCCAGCCACCAATGAGTTATCCGAAAACAATTCATTTGCCGACGACCTATTCACAACTGGGATCCAATATTTCGGGACACGAAAACCGGAGCATGCCGAGACCAATGACAACCGACACAAAACGATTCGGTTCGTTGAGGGCCATGATTCTGGCCAGGACTTGATATTACGTGACGATYCCGGAGTTAAAGCAAAAAATAAGGAGCGAGTCTTGGACATATTTGACCAATTGGATGGCGAATCATACAATATGGATAAGCGATATTACACCGGAAGCGATGGGTACTATCAGAGCTGGCAAGGTGGAATAATGTACGACGACGGCGAGAAAGAAAACGGCGGCTACTTTTCCGACGAGGACGTCGAGGACGACGAGGACGACGCGGAAAAAAAAATCGTCAGGAGTATGCTCTACACGGGGGCGTCCATTGCGCTCGTTGGGTTGTTTGGAGGCATGACCCAGCTCTTCCGCAAATCGTCAGACGACCAAGTCGGTGTCGCCGATGTAGGGGTTGAAGATGCTGGAAACGAGGCTATCGAAACGGGCATTGATTCCCTCATCAATGCCCAGCGATCGGCGAATGCGGCCTCGTTAAACACGTCGAGCGCTTCAACAAGCGCGTCAACAAGCGCATCAACAAGTGCATCAACAAGTGCATCAACGAGCGTAACGTCGACGTCGTCGTCTGTCGCCATGCCCGGTTCCTCCAACATGTTGGTAACTTCGGCTTCAAGCAGCAGCACCTCGGCCACGACGGCGGCGAATACTACGATGGTAGCTCAGACGGCATCGCTTAACTCCGCGACGAGTGCGGCGTCCATGACCAGTGCGAACACCGCTGCGCTCGGTGCCAATGCCTCTGCTGCGAGTGCAAGTACGAGTGCTGCAAGTGCGGCGAGTGCAAGTACGAGTGCTGCAAGTGCGGCGAGTGCAAGTACGACTGCTGCAAGTGCGGCGAGTGCAAGTGCGGCGAGTGCAAGTACGACTGCTGCAAGTGCGGCGAGTGCAAGTACGACTACTGCAAGTGCAAGTATGAGTGCTGCAAGTGCTGCCAGCGCGAGTGCCAGCGCCAGTGCTGCGAGTGCAAGTATGAGTGCTGCAAGTGTTGCGAGCGCGAGTGCCAGCGCCAGTGCTGCGAGTGCAAGTATGAGTGCTGCAAGTGTTGCGAGCGCGAGTGCCAGCGCCAGTGCTGCGAGTGCGAGTGCGATGAGTGCCAGTGCTGCGAGTGCGAGTGCGATTAGTGCCAGTGCTGTGAGTGCGAGTGCCAGTGCTGTGAGTGCGAGTGCTGCTGCAAGTGCAATGGGTGCAAGTGCATTGGGTGCRAGTACTGTGGGTGTTGGAGCATCTTCAGCGGCTGCCGCATCAGCATTGGCAGTCCAGTAAGTTTCAATCAAACCARTTTGTCGAATCCATTTCTTCTCATGCAATARTTGCCTTTGTGTTACAACCAAATAAGATTTTCTCACCTGAATTGATGCATTTTGAACCATAAATCCAATTATCTAATCATACTTGTGTTCAGAGCGACGGCAGCTTCGTGAGTTAGAGAAATCAAGAAATGATTCCAAAGAGGCTTTCGTTCTTTCCTTCCCAAGCTCAAATCCTTCTATATTCTTGTTTTCGTTTCTACTCTCTCCCTTACGTCAAYCACATTTCATTTCAGTATGGCCATTGGTGCTGCTGGAACGGCAACCGCCTCAATGGGCTTGGCTGCTGGAGCCACGGCAGGAGCGATAGGTGCTGCAACGGCTGCTACGGCAGCAGCGGCAACCATAAGCACCACTGCCACAGTTGCAGTAAGTGCATGAATCGATACATTTAATTTTGTTGCKATATGTCTTATTTGGTGATTGCTGTATTAGTTTCAATCTAAATTTTTCGCTCACAATCCAGGCGCTGCCCGTTGTTTGGTTCCAATTACAATTTCAACCGTAGATGGCCGCAGTTGCTGCTACAGGTGTTGTAAGTGACTTGACGAAACATTGGTCGGCGTTWTAAGCTACGCATCTGTCTRTTTTTACCAATATTGCTGACTTTACATCGATGTGTTGATATTTCAAAATTAGGTTGCAGTAGCTACGACAGAACTCATTCCAGAATCGAAACCGTCAGCACTGCTTCCCCCTTGCGCTGAAATTCCCGTAGAAATGGAGGCTCGGTTGAAAATAATATTCAATGCAGACTCTCCTGCATTGGATATATTTGAAAGTGRAAAGATAGATGTCACCTCTTTGGGAGAGACCATTACAACACTATACAACGAGGTATCTGACGAGTGCTTCGAAACGTATCAGCGAAGACTGATGAACTGTACTTACAATGGAATCGAACGACAAGATGAAGATTCTGTCATCTTGAATTGGGACCCATGGATAATATGCAACAGTTCCTGTCCTGCTGAGGATCCTTTGTTTGGCATCGACAGTCCCGATATTGTCGAACGACTATTGCAAGAACGACTATTGCAAGATTTTGACCTTGCAACATTTGTTAGTAATCTTGAGAAGACCCTTGCAGAAGTGGATGGCWCATTCAAAGGATATAAACCAAAAGTTGCAAGCGCTTCTAAGGCCTCTACACCGGATCAACATCGAAGCGAATTCCCGAGTGAAATTCCATCAAGTGTGCCATCTACAACGTCGTCAGGGAAGCCAAGTACTATTCCATCCAATATACCAAGTACAGTGCCTTCTACAATCCCATCCGAATTTCCAAGTGATGTCCCGTCTGAAGTTCCATCCGTCACGCCAAGCACTGTGCCATCAGGAGTTCCATCAGAATTGCCCTCTCTTGTCCCATCCTGGCATCCAAGTGATCTTCCATCAGAGTTACCGTCAGAGTCACCATCAGAGATACCAAGTGATAATCCATCTGCTACACCATCAATGGTGCCAAGTGCTATTCCATCAGCACTACCATCGAAGGTACCATCCGAGATACCGTCGGAAAAACCTTCATGGGTACCCTCGGAGACACCGTCGGAGAAACCATCAAGGCAACCAAGTGAAATTCCATCGGTAAAACCGTCAGCAATCCCTTCTAAACTACCAAGTAATGTCCCGTCTGACATTCCATCCACCATACCAAGTACTATACCATCCAGTCTTCCTAGTGAAAATCCATCAGTGACTCCATCTGCTGTCCCATCTSAAGTACCAAGTGATGTCCCTTCTGGAACTCCATCCATCTTACCTAGTGCTACACCATCCAATGTTCCATCAGGAATGCCGTCTGAAATTCCATCCGAACTTCCAAGTAATATCCCGTCTGGATTTCCATCGATCACACCAAGTACTATACCATCAGATATTCCAAGTGGAACTCCATCAGAATTGCCTTCAATTGATCCATCTGCGAATCCAAGTGATTTACCATATGTTACCCCCTCAATGATACCAAGCAGAACACCATCAACAGTTCCATCTGAATTACCCTCAGAGATCCCATCAGAGACACCATCGTCAAARATACCATCACAGGTGCCAAGTCATATTCCATCAGAACTTCCGTCCATTGATCCATCTGAGCATCCAAGTGATTTACCATCTGTTACCCCCTCAATG